AATACATAATTTATTTTCTAGGATAATATTAAGAGTCCATCATAACAATTATTAATTGTTTTTGAGTTTATCGTGTTGTTATTTTTCGGGTTGCTATTAGACATAATTGAATTTTTCTTATTTTCAACATGTGGTAAATTATTTTCAGATATAATTAAAGTCATTTCTAATTTTAAATTTTCAATATGAATGGGGTAAATAAGGATATGATTATACGAAGTTTATAAAAAGAAAAAAAATATTATATGCACTTGATAACTAGCATTTGGCCAGAGTTAATTAGGAGGGAAAAAAAGAAAAATATTCTATCATTCTCAATTAAGGACCTGATTAAGCAACAGAGACATAAATGGTAGGATGTTCAAATCCCCAAATAATTATAGACAATGCAAAAGGACTTTGGGTCGGTTGGCTTATTCCATATACTTTATATACGAGAGATACTATGCTTTTGACAAACAGTCACAGTTAGGAAGGTTAGGTCCAGACATAGGATATTATATGAATTTGAACGTGCAAATTAATATAATCATTATTCAATGTACCCAACGAAAAATAATTGCATAATTATACAAAGACTACTTGTTAATTCTGATAAAGAAAATTAAAGGACTACCTGTTATTTATTTTTATCTTCTAGATAGACATATTATTAGTTAATTATAGATTTAAAAATAGATGCGTGATGAGTTTAAAATTAATTTGATAATTAGTTAATTATATGAATTTAATTTTTCCTTGAACCACTAAAATTAATATAGTGATGAAAGGAATAGATTATTATCCACATGATCTTAACTTTAAATTTTATTATTGTTATTGTAATTTTAATAAATAAAAAAATATTAATTTTCTTAATAATATACTTTTGAATTTTATTTAATGTGTCATTATTACATTACAATATATATATATATATATATATATGTAATTTTATTGTTTTGAATAATTAAATTAGGATTAGTCAAATATTTGGTAGAAGTTGAGATAGATTAATTAAAAACTTAGATTCAAATTTTATTGTCGTTATAATATTCCTACCAATCAAGAAAAATAGAAGGTTGTGACATGTAAATGGGACGAAAGAGACTTGTCAATAATGAGGAACTTTATTTTAAACAGCACTTTTGGTTCAAGCCTTGAATTAACCAAAAAAAAAAGATATATTAGAAGAAAAATATGTTTTTTTAAGTGATTTCACTCAAATTAATCCAAAATGCTTTTAACATATATATACTATATGTTTCATATATATATGTCCCCGATTCTTAAGATTCATATTTTACTTTTTGGACCCCCTCTCTCTCTATCTATATATATATATATATATAACTTTAATTAATAGATCTCTGTGTGCCTGCCATTCTTATAGCAATATGAAGTTATGAACAATGAAAGTATGGAATGTAGCGACTATACTTAAGATGTATTAGTTCTTGCACTATTTTTGTTTTCGTACTTTATACTATAATTTGTTTCGGTATAAAAGAAGCGTGCTGACAAGTATTTTCTTTTACTTTACAACACAAAGGAGTGGTCTAGAAACAAATTAATAAAGGGGAAAAATGTAAATGTATACTCCATTTTAGATACAATATAATAAAAGAAAAATGTAAACGTACACTCTATTTTAAGTATATATATATGGTGGGATGGGAAAGAAAAGAGAGAAAGAGAACGCGATATTTGTGATAAATGATTTAATATAAAAAGTGAGAAATATGAAGTAAATAAATAGAAAGCAGTCATAGAAAAGAAAGTAAGATGAAAAAAAAAAATAGATAAAATAACCTTACCATTCTCATTTTCAAAATGGGGAAGTTTCTTGAAGTTTACACATGCATTGTCCTTTCGAAAGTTTAAAAAAAAAAATAAAAAAAAAACAAAAAAAAAAAACTTACATATGCAGCCAACAAATTAATTTTCTTAAAATGGTTAAAATTAAAGGCCGATTAAAATTATATAATCATTTAAAAATTATATTATTTATATTTTCATTATTTATAATAAAATTAAAATTATTTTGATCATCTGTGTTTAGTTATATGGCAACATTATTTTTGCCCTTCACTGAATATTTTCTGTATATATGTTTGTATAATAGTCAATATCAAAAGAATTTTTTTAATTCACATAATTACTTAAAAGTTCACGTGGGTTTACAATTTCTTTTAATAATTAATTTATTTTAATGTTAATAATTCACTATAATATTTGCGATAAAAAAAATGATAATTCGTGAAGATTTGATTATAAATACTAATTATCTTATATTTTTTTTCTTCTCTTTCTAATTATTTTCTTGTTGTACAAAAAATTATCCAAATTTACCAGACAAATTAATTTTTCATTTTTTATTTATTATTAAGGAGTATTTCAGTCAAACATGAAAATAATTTCTTTGAAGAGTTTAACCAATATTATTGTTACTCCATCTATGAACATCTCCTTTCAACTTAATTTATATATATATATA